ACGTGCCACAACTACTGAAGCCTGTGCACCTACAGCCCATGCTCTGCAACAAGAGAGACCACTGCAATGAGAGGCCCGCGCACTGCAATGAAGAGTAGCCCCCCCTTGCTGCAACTAGAAAGGACCCATGTGCAGCAACGAAGATCCAACACAGCCATAAATAAATAAATTTTTTAAAAATTAAAAAAAATAAAGCATCTCCAACTCTGTAACAATTACATTCCAAACTCCACAGTTTTCTGTAGAGAGCTTCCTCTGTGTTAAGCACTTTCCATAAGATATTCTCTTTTTGGTTTTTTGTATTTTTATTTTATTCTTCCAACAGTGCTACAATGTAGCTATTACTGTCCTTTGCCCTGTGAGGAAACTGAAGTTCAAGGAGGTTAAATAACTTTCTCAAGGTCACAGCCATAAGTGCCACAGTCAGCTTTCAAACTCCTACCCTCAGCAGACCCCACTGTTTACCAGTGTGGACCTGTTTCCCTGGTCTACACGGCCATGCCAGAGCAGATGTCCCTTTCTGCAGTCTGCTGAGAGGCATTTTTGAGACTCACAGGAAATCAGAGCTAAAGAGACCTTGGAGGGCCTCATTTCACAACTTGTTCCTTTCTTCAAACAGACCATGTTGTACAAGTGGTTTATACCATGAACTGTGGACAGAGGAACTGAACATAAACCCTGCCTCTGCCACTTACTGTGTGACTTTGGGCGAGTTACTTAACCTCTCTGTGCCTCAGATTTCTCATCTGCAGAGATAATAACACTGTTTAATTAACAGACTTGTTACAAGAATTAAATGAGTTACAACACAAAAGCACATAAAACAGTGCTTGGCACATGGTTAGCTCTCCATAAATGGAGAAATTTTACCATCATCAGTACTATACTATTATTACTACTACTAAGAGTTTATGATGTACCAGGTATGATACACAAGACAGTGAGTGGGAAAACAAAGATGACATAGCCACTGTCCTCCCCTCAGGGAATTCATGGTATGGAAAGAGACTGCAGAAACCATATATAATTACAATGTAATAATGTGGTAAATGCAATAACATAGATTAGTGTGGACACTGAGAGTGAATGTGACTTGTCCAAGGGAGCAGCAAAATTAGGACTTGAGCCCAGCTATCCTGAGCCTCTTTCTAGCCCACCTCATCGACTGGCAATTTGCCCACAGCACATAAAGGTGTGACTCAAAGGTCCTTCCACATGGCACCAAAAAGAGACTCCTACGGCCTCGACTGTCTCAGCTGAAGATATTACTAATGTGTAGAGATAGTCAGTAAACATTTGCTGAATAAGTCAGTGAGTCAAAGGCATTAGTGAGAAGACAGCCAACATCCCCCTTGGCTCTCACCTCCTCAACCTGCAGGCGTGAGGCAGTGGCACAGGGCAAAGCAGCAGTGAGCCCTGGGAGACAGCTGGTCACCCTCTCTTCACCCTCAAAAAGGTGGTTAATTGGGGTACCACTATTTACTGGCTTCTCCTTCCCCACAGCTGTTTCTGAAAATTTTAGTGCACTCAATTTAATCACTTCCACAATTCTTTGTTATTTGTATGTGCCCAACTCTATAGAGAGGAAGGTGAATCCACCCCAGTTGCTGCCCTCAGGGAGCTTGAATTCCAATAAAAGAAATTAATCATGACAAACTGCTATCCTGAAAGATAGAAAATCCAGCAACTTCCCTAGAACAATGAAAAGAACATGGGCTTTGAAGCCACAATTTTTTCCTTCCTCCCTTCCTTCCTTCCTTCCTTCCCTCCTTCATTTTGGCTGCGCCAGGTCTTAGTTGCGGCACACGGGATCTTCCTTGCAGCATGCGGGATCTTTAGTTGCAGCATGTGGACTCAGTTGCAGCATGCATGTGGGATCTAGTTCCCCGACCAGGGATTGAACCCGACCCCCCTGCATTGGGAGCGTGGAGTCTTGCCCACTGGACCACCAGGGGAGTCCCAAAACATGGGCTTTGGAATCAGACAGGCCAGGGCTTGAATCTAGTTCCTCCACTTGCTGGCAGTGTGACCTCAGTAAACTAACTCAGGCTCTCCGGGGTGATTTCCTCATTGTTTTTTGTTTTTTTTTTGCCTTATGCGGGCCTCTCACTGTTGTGGCCTCTCCCGTTGCGGAGCACAGGCTCCGGACGCGCAGGCCCAGCGGCCATGGCTCACGGGCCCAGCCGCTCCGCGGCATGTGGGATCTTCCCAGACCGGGGCACGAACCCGTGTCCCCTGCATCGGCAGGCGGACTCTCAACCACTTGCGCCACCAGGGAAGCCCCCTCATTGTTTTTTAATGCGAATCATTATTCCTACTTCATAGGGTGGATATGAGGATTACAACTTCCTTTCACCATGCCTGACCTTGTCATCTTCCTTCCTATTGTTATCTGTGAGTCTTGACCCAATTTGCATATTGGGAGGCAATCCAACCCACATTCCCAGAAGGCCTGGCCAGACTCTGGGGAGGCAGAGGCCAGTTGGGCCAGCTTCCTGCCCTCCAGGAGCTCCCAGCTTCATGCGGCAACTGACACAAGTTCAGACAACCACAGTCCACAGCCTAAGTGCCATGGGAGACAGATACAGCAGAGGCATTGAGGTGGCTCCAAGGAGAGCTACGGCACCAGGGTTGGGTCTCGCTAGAGCCGTGAGTAAGATTTCGAGAGGCAGATGTGGGTAGGGAATGTATACTAGGTTGCCTCACCTCTCTAAGCCTCAGTTTCCTCTTTTGTAAAATACAAATAATACCACTTACCTTTTGCCTGCTACTTTGAGGATTAAGTGGGATAAAGCCAGGGAAGCACCTACCGCAGTGTCTGGTTCATACTAGGCTCTGGATAAATGGAGGCAATTACTTTACTATTATGTTGGATAATAAAGCCCCAGTGGGTGGCCCCCTTCCATAATGGAATTATCTTCTTCCCTGTGACTCACCTTCAAGGGCTGGCCCAGAGGTTGGGATGTTCCAGGCTCCTAGGCAGGTTGGAACTACCAAGCTCCCTAGAGTAAGGCCTTTATTCAGAAGAGATCAGTGCTCAGGAGAGCTCACCTCATCTCACATCCCCATTGTGCAAACACAGACCCTTGATCCCCAAGAGAAAGAACATGATTTCTTTCCCCCAGTGTCAGAGCTTGACCTCAAGCCCAGATTTCCACCATCTCAGAAGAGAAACACCATGCCTCTGAGTCAGCCCAGGTCCTCCCGGCCTTGTCCTAAAGAGCCTGCTATGCAGGAGCCCAGAGAGACCTGTTGGGAAGAAGCAGGAGCATGGGGTGCTGGAGACCTGGGTTTAAATCCACCCAGTTGCTGTCTGAACCAGGGTCACAGCCCTTTCCCCTTCTAGGCCTCCATGTTCTGAGACTGGCTCGGGTGGGCTGAAATTCCCACCAGTGGCTGACTATCAAAAAAACACCAGGGGGCTTCCCTGGCTGCGCAGTGGTTGGGGGTCCGCCTGCCGATGCAGGGGGCGCGGGTTCGTGCCCCGGTCCGGGAGGATCCCGCATGCCTTGGAGCGGCTGGGCCCATGAGCCATGGCCGCTGAGCCTGCGTGTCCGGGACCTGTGCTCCGTAGCGGGAGAGGCCACAACAGTGAGAGGCCCGCGTACCGCCAAAAAAACAAAAACACCACCAGGATAGCACAGACCAATCACTGCAGACACTGGCAGGGTCCTGGTGGTCCTCTCCTGGGCTAGGCATGAATCTTTTGCTTTTGGGGGAGGAATAAAATGTACAGCGTGTGCAGCACGTGTTTCCCAAAGTGAAAATGGGTCAAGCACACATCTCCCTGCCCTTCCCCCTCCTCCTCGCAAGTGCCTAGCACTGTGTCCCATACATGCTGGCTCCACCCCAATGTGTCCAACGTGTGTCCTGCAAGTTCCTCTTCCTGAGGAAGGTCCACATTGCAGAAGAAGAGACAGGGACCTCATGATTTATTTTAAACTTAATTGAAGTATAATTTATACACCATTAAATTCACTATTTTAAGCGTACAATTCAATGATTTATAACATAAATTTACAGAGCTGCACAACCTCCACCATAGTCCAGTTTGAGAACATTTCCATCATCCCCCTAATTTCCCTCGTGCCCATCACTCCCCATTCCCATCCCCAGCCCCAGGCAACCACTAATCTGCCTTCTGTTTCTATGGATTTGCTTTTCCTGGACCTTTCATGTAAAGGGAATCAGATGATATGTGGTCTTTTGTGTCTGGCTTCTTTCACTTAGCATAATGTTTTTTGAAATTCATCCATGCTGTGGCATGTGTCAGTACTTCATTCCTTATCTGATTCATTTCATATCCCTGGTACCCTACCAGTGCCCGGCACATAGTAGGTATTCAGAAAGGGGCTGAGGAATCTCACACGGGGACCAGAGGCCCTTCCAAAATGAGAGCAGCTACCAGCCAAAGAAATTCCAGTCAGTCCCCAAGCTGCTACGGATGAGGCGCTATTCCCCGTGGCCGCTACCAGTGATGTGAATATAGCAATTTGTTTTCAAACTCGTGATTGTACACCAGTTGAACTGTCATGCTCTCAACTTCAGAGGTGTGCTGCAACATCGATCCACTTATTCTGAATTTGCCTTTATTCCCCACTCATCCTGTCTCTGAAAGCCATGGTGACTCATTGCTCTGCAATTAACTCTCTTTCTTCAAACTTGAATTGCCTGAACTAGTTGGAGAAGAATGATATTCCAAATACAACTAGTCTCCAACTATTACTGTAGAATTGTCTCTTTCTCCCCTCAAGTCTATCCATTTTTGCTTCATATATTTTGGGACTCTGTTTTCAGGTGTATATATGTTTATAGTTGTTACCTAATTTAACACTTATTGACGGATTAAATTTTTATCAACATATATTGTCCTTCTTTGTCTCTTGTAAACTTTTTGCTTAAAATCTATTTTATCTCCAAAAGCACAGGCAACAAAAACAACAAATGAGACTACATCAGACTAATAAGTTTCTGCACAGCAAAGGAAACAATCAACAAAATGAAAAGGCAGCCTATGGAATGGGAGAAAATATTTGCAAACCATATATCTGATAAAGAGTTAATACCCCAAATATATAAAGAATTCGGGGATACCGGGCTAGGGTTCCCTGGCGGGATGGTGCCACAGTGCCAGGTGGAAGTGTTGTATTTTGCAAAAAGTGCTGAAATAACAGGAATTCGTTCGGAGACCATTTCTGTGCCACAAGAAATAAAAGCATTGCAGCTGTGGAATGAGATAGAAACGCAACATTCTGGATCGACTGATGTCAGAAATCAGGTGATATTTGCTGTTCCTCAAGAATATGTCAAGCTTGGAGATCAGCTCCTCCTGCTTCAATCAGGAGACGAAATTGCCATTATCCCCCCCACCCCCCCGCCCCCGGTTAGTGGAGGATAGTGCTTTGGAGCCACCTGAGAAAGATATAAATGAAGTTGAAGCAAAATCTAAAGGTATAATAAAATTCACATCTGAGAAACTTTCAGTAGATGAAGTCTCACAGCTGGTGATTTCTCCACTCTGTGGTGCAATATCCCTATTTGCAGGAACTACAAGGAATAACTTCGAAGGGAAAAGAGTCATTAGCTTAGAATATGAAGCATATCTACCAATGGCAGAAAATGAAGTCAGAAAAATTTGTAGTGACATTAGGCAGAAATGGCCAAACACATAGCAGTGTTCCATCGACTTGGCTTAGTTCCAGTGTCAGAAGCAATCATTATGCTGTGTCCTCAGCCCATAGGGCTGCATCCCTCGAAGCTGTGAGCTATGCCATTGATACTTTAAAAGCCAAGGTACCCATGTGGAAAAAGGAAATGTATGAAGAATCATCATCATCTTGGAAAAGAAACAAAGAATGCTTTTGGGCAAGTGATGATTAAACCACTTAGGTTTTTAGAGTCCTAAAATTTAAACTTGGTAAATTCTTATCTTTGATCATGTTTTGATTTTTCTTCTCCAGAAGATTGTTTACTGAACATAATCTTTTATGTTACACCAGTGGAACAAAAGAGAGAAAAAAAAGCAAAATAAATGAGTGCTTAGGATGAGGGCTTATAGAGGAAAGAAAGGCTTTAGGGAAAAAAGGGAAGAATAATTTAAATGTAAGGAAAGACGCCTGTGTTAGACATATTATTCTATGACTAAGTTCTAACTGTAACTTGACTTACACTGAGGTGTGGCCCCTCCTCAGTGACTGTCTCAGAGGCTGCCCCAAACCCCCTACCCCTATGCTCAGTGATATCATTATTGTCAGGGATGTGTTTTGAGAATGTAGGCAGAACTGGAAGGTATAAAAAGTCCTTATTGGATACTCTTGGTATGATATATTTTTAGAATTTATATATTTTTAAAATAAGCTAAATAAACATGATTTTAAAAGTTAAAAAAAAAAAGAATTCATACAACTCAACAGCAAAAGAGCAAATAACCTGATTTTTAAAATGAGCAAAGGACCTCAATAGACATTTCTCCAAAAAAGACATACCGATGGCCAATAGGTACATGGAAAGATGCTCAACATCACTAACCATCAGGGAAATGCAAATCAAAACCACACCTGTAGGATGGCTATTATCTAAAAGTCAAGAGATAACAAGTGTTGGAGAGGATGTGGAGGAAACCTAACTCTTGTGCCCTGTTGGTGGGAATGCAAATTGGCGCAGCCACTATGGAGAACAGTGTGAAGGTTCCTCACAAAATTTAAAAAATAAATAAATAAAAATAGAACTATCATATGACCCAGCAATCCCACTTCTGGATACATATCTGAAGCGAATAGAATCACTACCTCATAGAGATATCTGCACTCTGGTGTTCACTGAAGCATTATTCACAATAGCCAAGGTATGGAAACAACCTGAGTCCATCAACAGATAAATTGGTAAAGAAATGTTGTACATACATACTATGGCATATTATTCAGCCTTGAAAAAAAAGAAAGAAAATCCTGCCACTTGCAATAACATGGATAAACCTGAAGAACATTATGCTGAGTAAAATAAGCCAGACACAGAAAGACAAACATCACATGATCTTATTTACATGTGGAATCCGAAAAACAAACAAACAAAAACAAGTAGAACTCATAGCAACAGAGAGTAGAATGGTGGAGAGATATCCATCAAAGGGTACAAACTTTCAGTTATAAGATGAATAAGTTCTGGAAACCTAATGTACAGTATGGTGTCTGTAGTTAATAATAACATATTATATACTTGAATTTTGCTAAGAAAGTAAATGCCAAGTGTTCTCACCACCCACATAAAATGGTAACTATGGGAGGTGATAGATATGTTAGTTTGACTGGGATAATTATTTCACATGTATAATTGTAATTTAATCTATTTTGCCCAATAGTAATGTAGTCACCCCTGTTCTCTTTTGCTCATTATTTGCATAGAATATCTATGTTAAAAACAGCAGATGCCCGCTTCTGCAGGATAACCGATAGACCCGTATCCAGAATGATGCTCCAGGTCTCCATGGAGCCTAGTAATACAGATAAGAACAAAAAAAACAACTATAAGGTAAGGCAATGTATCCCATAAAGATGTACATCACACATCTAAGATGCTGTGGAAGACCTTCAACTCAATGATTCATTCGTACCTTCATTTTACAGCCCCTGAGCACTTATTCTATGCCACGGCCTGAGCTGAACACAGCACTGAGGCATTCATGGCCCCTGTGCTCTAGAACTTAGAGGATGATGCAGGCAAGCAGGGCCATTTTAAGACATTCATAGGCTATACCTAAGTTTCCATATCTTTGAAATGGTGATAATAGTACAACTTCATAAAAATGCTGTAAGGGGTAAATTAGTTTAAAATGTGTAAAGTATTTAGAATAGTGTCTAGTACATGTAAGCACTCAATAAATGTTACCTATCATCAATCATCATCATCATCACCAACTTTAATTACTTTTTCTTTGGAAGCTGTATCCCACCAGTTAAATTTTAAAATTTTGTACTGTAAAAACAATTTTTAGTGTAAACATTTTACATTTTAGTGTAAAAATGTTTTACTGTAAAGTAAGTAATTTTTCTTTAAAACTTATACTTAATTTCAGATTTGCAGTTTTCTTTTCATGTTTGGGAGCTAATAAATTTTGCAAAAGTGCTTGAAAAGCTCATAAGACCATCCCTCTAGACTCCCGTGGATAACATAAACCTAACCAGAGTGACCATGTAAGGCTGCACAGGTGGATTTTACTGTACAACTCTAAGGAAAACCAATCTCATAGACTATGAAGTGAATGCCCCCATCCCCAGAGATGTGTACTGCTGCAGCCCTGGCCCTGCAGGTGAGGAAGTCAAGGATAGACACACAATGCAATAAAGATCACTTCCAATTGGGAGAAAAGAGATGACTTTATGGAGGGATGACATCTGAGCCAAGTCATGAAGAGCAGAAAGACTTCAGTCCACAAAGATGCTGTGAGAAGGGCAATCCAGGCAGAAGGGATAATAAGAGCAAAGGTAGGGAATTCCCTGGTGGTCCAGTGGTTAGGACTCCATGCTTCCACTGCAGGGGGCATGGGTTTGATCCCTGGTTGGAGAACTGAGATCCCACAAGCCGCACAGCATGGCCAAAAAAAAAAAAAAAAAGAGCAAAGACAAGGTGTACATCTGTGGAAGAGCGAAGTGTGAGTAGTTCTGTTTGGTTGGAGCAAAAGATGTGTGAAGGGTGGAAGAAGGAAATGAGCTTGGGGAGAGATAAAGGAGCCAGATCAGGGATGGCTTTGAATGCCAGGCTTACAGTTTAAACTTTGTCATGTGGGCAGTAAGTTGTCATTGCATGTTTTTGAGGTGGGACGTATCATAATCAGAGCTGTGCTTTAGGAAAGTTCCTCTGGCTGCTGGTGTCGGGGGCGGGCTGGAGGGGGCAGAAGCTGGAGATAGGAGGCCTGTAAGAAGATGGTTACAATTCTGGAAGTTAGAAGTCCAAAATCAAGGTGTTGGCAAGGTCATTCTCCCTCCAGAGGCTTTAGGGAAATCTGAATCCATTTGTTGCCTCTTCTGCTGGCTGTTGGTGTTCCTTGGCTTGTGGCTACTCACTCCAGTCTCTGCCTCCTTCTTCACATGGGCTTCTCCTCTTCTCTTTGTGTCTCTCCTCTGTGTGTCTTTCATAAGGGCATTTGTCATTGGATTTAGGGCAGATCTCAAAATCTTGGAGTTAATTAAATCTGCAAAGACTCTTTTTCCAAATAAGGTCACATTCACAAGTTCCAGGGATTAGGACATGGACATATCTTTGGGGGGCTCCCTTTCAATCCACTCCACACCTGTTGGCAAGAATGTGGAAAAATTAGAACACTCCTATACTGCTGATGTGAATGTAAGATGGTACAGCCACTTTGGAAATAGTCTGGCACTTTCTCAAAAACGGTAACCTAGAGTTACCATGTGATCCAATGATTTCACTCCTAGGTATATACCCCAGAGAAATGAAGCCGTGTCCACACAAAAACCTGTACATGAACGTTCATAGCAGCATTATTCATATGAGCCAAAAAGTAGAAAGAATCCAAATGTCCATCAACTGATGAATGGATCAATAAAACGTGGTATATCCGTACAATAGGATATTGTTCAGCAATAAAAAGAAATTAAGTGCTGACTCATGCTACAGCATGGATGCATCTTGAAAACATTCCAGTATGCTGAGTGAAAGAAGCCATCCACAAAGGGCCATATATTGTATGATGCCATTTATATGAAATGTCCAGAATAGAAAAATCTATTAGTTAGACTAGTGGTTGCCTAAGCTTAGGCGTGGGGATGTGGAAGAAGAGGATGGAGTTGAGGAGGAATGGGGAGAGACTAGTAATAGGCACGGGGGTTTAAGGAAAGTGATAAAAATGCTCTAATGTTGACTGCAGTGATGCTTGCACACCTCTGCGAATATATGAAAAAACACTGAAGTGTGCCTTAAGTGGGTGAATGGTATGGTGTGTGAATTATATCTCAATAAAGCTGTTATTTAAAAAGTAAACGTGTAGCACTGCACCCAGCTCATAGAAGTTCCTCAATACTCCGGAGTTACCCTCCCCGCAGTTCCACCGTCCTGTGAATACTCTGACAGGGGTCCATTACAACGGCCCCACCTAGACACAAAGGTGTGTAAATTAGGGACGCATTCAGATTAGCTGGCCACAGTCGCTCAGGCACATTCAAATATTTCCTGGGTACCAGCTACACGGAGGAAGCTGCAAGACTATTGAAGATTCAGAGATGAATTGCCCGTGCACCCAAGATGCTCAAGATGCTCTTTCACAGAATGAAAAAGGGTGTTGTCTTTGTCTTCCTGCTCCTTTAAAATTGCCTTAATTAATTCCTCTTCTCTTCTTCCCCGCTCCACACTCCGGAAGATTTTCTCAAAGAAAATTGCAATAATTATGTATTTACCATTGCCAAAACCACGCTTGTTTCTTTTAAAGGGAAACATATTTAACCTTAGCAGATTTCCCAGATTCAACTGCCCATGGGACACCTTACAAA